TCCATGTGCCAGCCTGTAGACCATTAGCAGGACCAGGATTTATTTTTGCTCGCTCCTGTAAAAGACACATTTAAGTCAATCTGGAAATCCATTGGTACAAAAAAAAAAAAAATCTTCCTTTACCTCTGGAGGCCCAGCCTGGAGTTTTTCGACTAACCGGAAGTGCAGGGGCCTCACGCCCTTCACTTCCGGTGGTCCCCCCAGGGAATCACTGTGTTGTTCACAAATACTTAGGGTAGAAAACCAGCAGAGTTTAGCTATATATCACATTTTTCACATCACTATATCACCGTGTAGACTAATCTGATGTTTGTTAAGTCTATAAACACAATGACTGAACAAACGTTACTATTTCTGTGTGCACGTTTTGTAATTAACATGGTTATCGTAGATTAGCTGAGCTAACCGTTAGCTGTTAACGTTAGCCGTTAGCATTGTCCCCCCATCTAGTCGTCTTTCACACAGGGCTGCCGACAGATTCTACAATGTAAATTGCAGAATCTGTCTTGAGAGATTACATTTAAGTGTATATAGAATAAAGTGTAAATACATAACTAGTGTGCTATTTTCTCCTGTCTTTTTATTTTTAAACCTATTGATGCAAAGCATTAAGGCCGTTGCACACCAAGTCTGCATATTTTCCAAGTCCTTCTTCCAATTAAAATCCTTTTACGGAAACCTTGCACACTGGGTCCGATGCGTTTTATTGTTCTATTCACCGTGAAATTCACAAAAGCAAACAAAATAAAAAGACACAATTGCTCATTTGCTTCTCTCCACTGGAAGTACCTCCCCGACTGTCGCTACTCTCTCCCAGTGTCTTGCATTTGGCACCACGGCTATCTGAAAGGGCTGAGCTCTGTGTGTGCCGTCCTCATCCTCTGTTGCATCCTACTCTTCGTCACCATCATCCACCTGAATATGACCTGCTGAAAGTAACTGTCTGAGTTATGAAATTATACGATGCACCCCATTCCTTTCTCTTGTTGTAGGTGTATGTGTCCTGCAGGTTATGCCACTTTTTTTACTGCTTTTTGGTCCAACAACTCTTTTGATGGAGGTTTTGGGGTGGTTGTAAACATGACTGACACAACTTGAGGCCTGAACACAACAGATATGCAGGACCAACTTCAGCTATGCTTTGATGGTATGATGAATTTAAGCATGCTCTGTGATCTGTGCTAAAAGCCCATATCAGCATTTTCTTACAATATGTGAGCACAATTCCATTAGCATATGCAGTCGTACCCTCCACCTGTGGATGTCTCATTGATTCCTCTGTAATGTGAGTCACACAGCAGCAGCAGCAGCACCAAGCTCCATATTTCTCATTGTGCTCTCTAAGTCTTATACTACCTAGCTGCCCTTTTATAGGCCACTAATTGAAGCGAGGCACATCGTATATCTACCATTTAGCTGGATAAATGGGCAATTTGCCATTTCTTGAGTGCAGTAGTGATGGGCCCTTCACATCTGACAGCAATCTCTTGGAAAATCAATAATCTCGTGACATTACATCCACAGCCTGTATCAGCCATAAAAACTTCAAAACACAACCAAGTCAACATTTTAAGTTGTTACTGGGTTATGTGCTGGTTCCTGAGCTATAGGCTTATAAATTCAAGTTGAGTTTATTGTCATATACAATAAAATGTACAGTTGTACATTCAGATGCAATGAAATGCATCTGCATAAAAAGCTAAGGTGAGGCTATAAACAAACTACACCACAGTTGCATGACTTACGTAAATGTCGCCGCCACAACAAGGCTGTAAAGCCATGTTCAGCGTGATGACCTTCTGCAGTCTCATTTAGCCAGTTGTTAGCAACTGCCTTTTGTAAGACATGTAAAAGCTTCAAAATTCACGAGTGGGGTATTTACTGGCATATTTTATGTCGTAGAACAAAACATTAAGCTTTCCGTAGCCGTGGTTTGCAGCATTTTTTCTGGTGATTGGATTGAAGTGTTGCAGCTAAAGGTCAGCAGATGTAAATATCTTTAAAAAGCATTACAAAACAGCCTGGTGGAATTATATTTGTTATTAATCACAAAGAATGAGACTAAGATACAAAATAGATGTTAAGGTTTAGTTCATGGCTAAAGTCAAACTTGCAATATAATCTGAGTTTCAAGATTGTGTAAAATAAGAAATAAAAACCTCCCAATCTTTTTCACATCCACATTTTTATTATTTTTTTCATATCCTGGTTGCACACACAGAAAATGAACTTTGATGTCAATGAATAGTGAGCATCTGAATTAATAAAGATTCAAATGTTGCAATGCATTTGTTAAGAGACTGCGCAGCAGTAGCGCATCTAAACAACCTTCATCAAACAGTCCAAAATAATTTGCTGGAACAAAGCTTTCAGTCAATTGAATCCTTTTCTTTCCACTATATTGTATTGTTATTGCCTTTTTTTCCAGTGGACATGCTGAATAAATCGACTTATTTCTTCATACACAAAGTTATAGTATTCAAAATATAAAACGCCACATTCCAATGAATTTCACAAGTTTTAATTGAGTATAACTGCCCCATTTCCAGAAATGGGCTTCAAATGCACTGAGTCCACAAAAAATATTCTGAGGCAAAGAAGCGAGATGGGCAACAGAACATATGATACCAAGAACAGACAATACAAAGCGTTAACATGAGATTATCGTTACACTGAACTGAAGCCGTCCAATACAAATTACAACAATCCAGTAATGACAATCATTCATTCCTGCATTCAATGAAAGAATAAAAAGAAAAAAAAGGTGAAACTTAAAAGCCACACAGACCTCCAGATTTAAGTTTTCACTTGTTAATCTATCTTAAAAAATTTAGAAAAACAAGGAAGTGATATGTCCACCTGAGTTTGGGTGAGATTAACTACCCAGCACCCTACAGCTCCTCTCTCGGTCTCTAAGTGACAATGCACCTCACAGCACTGACCATCTATGGCGCTAGGCTGGGCTTACCAAAACTGGGTTAATGAGTAGAATCTCTTTTTCTTGTATTTGTGTATTGTATAGTGTACATTGTGCTGAACTCAGTTTCCCCAGAATCATTGAGCATGTAGCCTATTTGTGTTTTCCATCACAAAAGTCTTGATTCATTCGCAGTTGCTTCTACTGTTTCTGTTTTTTCATGTATTCTTTGACCCATCTGCTTCCAATGGAACAAAGCTCAAGTAAGCTAGAATAGAATAGAAACAACTTTATTTATCCCAAAGGGAAATCCAGCACATTCAGCTCTGAGATCTTTTGAGTAGTGACCAATTCATAGTGTCAAGGGAAACAAAGAGCAGTTTTCCTTCAGGTTTTAATGACTGTTCTTATTATTTATGATTTTTTTTCTTGGCAGAATTGCATTGCTAAAATTATGTATCCCACAGCAGCTGTGATAGGCCTTTACGGGTTGTGAACATTTGCACATTGTTCTGGGTGTAGTTAAAAACATGCACACACCACATAAAACAGAACAAAGTACAAAAACATTAAGATTTATGAAACAAAAACAACAACCTGAAAAACCCTTCTTGGTTTTGGGAAACCCAACCTAATCTGCGCTTCTTGCGTCGTTATGGATCCCACTGCTTTTCTTGGCAATTCCTGTTTTACTGTGCCGTGATTGACTGGTACTCATCACATCGATTAATCGTGGTCAAGTGGCAACCTCCAGCGCTGAGAAGTGAAGCCAACCTTAAGAAAAACTGCAGTTCCTTGAATGGCCACTTGAGGCTGACTGAAAAGCAAGTTAATCTCCACAGGCACCCATGTTAGAATGCCCAACTCTACAATTGAAATAAACATGTTTACAGCCTGGTTCAAAAAACAGTTTTAGTCTCTATAGCTAATTCCCAACTTCATGACAACTGCAGGGGGGGGTGAATTGTTATATAACTCACCCGCATGAATTTTATAAAGGCTTAAAGTTATGCATAATTAAGGGCGTGGTTGCTTTGAGTGACAGGCTGTTTGGCAGGCTCTCATTTAGATCCACCTTCCTCCTCCCCTGCTCCACCCTCTCGTCCAAATATGGTCACCTCAGGTCACTTTGGCCTCCAAAAATCCAAGATGGTGACAAGCAAATGCCAACCACGAGTCCACAAACCAATGGATGATGTCATAGTGGCTACGCCTACTATTATATAGTCTATGGTCAACATCGGTAGTTTCGCAGACCACCCACTCTACTACACAACTCCTAATCCTAACCATAGCTATTGTGTGTTCACAGCTAGGCCTGCTTGAGATTGGAGGTGGTTAAGGTTAGGACAAAAAGGTCAGGGTTAGGGCTAGTATTAGTCAATCACAACACAGTAGGACAGGACTTGCCAGGAAAAGCAGTGTGATCCAAAATAACGCTGTAATAGCGCAATTCTCTGCAGGAAACAGGGAAACTAAGATGTCAGATGGCTATAATACCATGTTAGCTTTTTGCTAATGCTCAGTGTCACGCACACACATACTGTACAATGATGCAGTACAAATGCATTCTCAAATTGTATGTACAACGAGATTCCTTTGTACAGAGGAGATAGAGACAGATGTCAAAGACAGGCTCGGTGGGAGATGAGGCACAATGTTCAACAGTTTTGTGTTACCTTGATTTTTTTCATATCTACTTGCACAAAAGCAAGTTGTAGCAAAATGTTGGAATATAGCTGTCATGGCAATTGTATTATGTTGGTTTCCCTATTCAACACAAGTCACAAGTATTTGCATGTTCATCAGACATGGCAGCAAGGCCATCGCTCTTAAATGTCTTAAAACTCAATGAGAAAATTAGTGTATTTGTTGCAATTAATCCTGAAACACTACTTTGCCTTTTGGGATCCTAGTTTACGAAACCAGACTGTGAAAGATTCATCTCTCCTGCTTCCAGAAACCACACCACCTCATTTGGGAGGAAGTCTGGCTAAAGCTGCAGCCAAAGAGATATTTTTTAAGCGTGTAAACAAGTAGACGTCAGATTCTGTCCACTTTACAAAAACATCTCAACCAGAGCTCTAATGCTGCCTGCGTAAAGAGATCTTTTTATTTTATGCCGTTCCTGTGGATCAAACATGAACACCCCGCAGTAGCATTCAAGCAGAGCTGAAGCAGGATATCTGCTGACACCCAAGACTCATGTGTACTTACAGCCTTAGCATTGCACAAGAATAAGTTTCAATACTGAGTGGTCTAGAATAAAAAAAAAAAAAAAACAACTTCCAGTGCTTCTTAATGAGTCCATTGTGATCAGATGCCTCCTCCTGAGTTTTAAGTTTATTCAGAATCAAGGAGGAAATATTAAGATACTCAGCCAGTGCCTGAGTAAAGTTGTGTCTGTGCCAAGCCATTAAGATCATGTAAATAAGAGGACGCCAGAATAAGAGCACACAACTATTTACAGCATTTGTACATCAATATCAACTCCAAGCATCAGGGCCCGAATACATAAACACAGCTTGACTGACTGGCTTTACACAGCATAGAAATTCAGTTCTTCTCTTTAACATGGTCTTCTCATGGCCATTTGTACAGTAAGAAACCACAGGAAAACGGTTTGGAGCCATGCTGTGCAAAAAAAAAAAAAAAAAAAGATCCTGTATATAAAGGCTACTACTGGTGAATTGTAAAAGTTAACCCATAATTCCCAGTTATTTTATTGATTCAGAACTTCAGGCCACATCCACACTAAAATATTTTCATTTTAGAACGAAAATCATCTCCGTACCACAGTGGTTTTAGCATGATTCAAGAGTTGATCTCACCCATATCAACACGCCTAAAGAACACATATCAAATTACAATTCACGTACACGGGGAATGCGCATACTGGTGTAAACACAAAGCACATTGTCTGATCTGCGGTTTGTTGCTGAAGCCCCTTTCACACATTTCAAACCTTAAATTATCTAGACATTAGCCGGAGGGGCTGTATGTGAGAACACAAATGTCCAAATCAGTTGCCTTTAACATTAAGCAGTCTTTACCCTGCTAGCTGCTATTTCATGAGGCTCACATGAAACTGTAAGAAAAACATCCCAGGGTGAAGAAGAAGGATCAATTACATGACATAGCAACGAAAATGTCTAACTGGAGAGATGGAAAGATTCAGAACTTCTGTCAGTAGGAGTAAAAGCCAAAACTGTGAGAGAAATTCAAGGAACACCAAGAGACTCTGCTGTTTATGACCACATTACGAACCAGCAACATGATTGCTGTGTAATCTGTGTCATGTCCTGCCTCCTGTACGCTCTATCCAAGTGCGAACCCTAACCTAAACCAAACAGAGTGTTTCCAGTTTTCAGTGGGTGAGAACGCTCTTGACATGGACACATGTAGTTGAGTGCTACATGTAAAGGAGAAACTCTGGACAATGTTTTGAACCTGATTCTCCAGACACTGACTGGAGTTCATATGAGAAAACGGCTTTAGGTACAGAAAATTCTACGGAGATGGCAAGACAAGTAATTTCTTTGCTTGCACCAAAGGAAAACAGATTGGGATTCGTTACAAAGCAAATACGGCAACATTCTAGAACGGTTCCAGCCAAGAGCATTATTCAGCGCCAGAGGAAGCCATGGCAATGGGAGAGGAGTACCCACACAAGACGGACAGTCAAAAAAGGTATGTACGCTGTTTTTAAAGGTCTCTGTTTTCACCCGTCCAGACTAAAACGCAACATTGGCGTTTTCAAACTAAAAAGGGGTCAGCAGTGTTTCCAAAGGTCTCTGTTTAAGGGGTTCAAATATGCTGGAAAAGTATGGACGCTAGCAAACACAGCAACTCTCATTTTAAAATGACATTTTAGTGTGGGTGCAGCCTTAGACAGCTAGCTGGCTATTCTTTGAGGATTCTGCTGGTCATAAGTTAACTCACATCGTGATACAATTTGGTTTCAGTGAAGGATATCAATCAACCAATTGAGTGCTACTGCAGGGATGACGTTTTTTTTTTTTGCAGGCAGATGGGCAAGTTAGCGTTGCCCTCGTTCCCTGATCAAAAAGCCAAGGGGATTTTTTTTCATTGGATTTTGGATGTACAGCTGCTCGATATACCTCATAACAAACTTGATATAGGAAATATATTACCTGTTCTGAAAAAATATTGTATTTCGGCAAACAGCGTACAAACAGCCAACAGCATTTTCCATTCTTAATTTTCCACTTGGCACTTTCAACATTTCGTCATGTATACGGGCCCCGACTTCAACCCTGATGCCTTCACACATGTTCATACAAGCAATCATAAATTCAGAAATTGTGAAAAAGCAAAACAAAGAAAAACCCAAATGGCATTTGTATTGAGGGACAATAAACGAGAATGTGTATTAAAATTAATACACAGTTTATTCAAATGCTTATGATTAAAAAGATTTTAAATTCAGACATTGAGAGGGAAACAAATGTTACGATGGAATGACTGATGCTCTTCCCCATTGCCTAAATGGGTTCAAATGTACTGACTTCACAGAGAAATGATGGTAATTCTTTAAATTACAGCTCACTGACAACAATAACAAGTGTACAAGAGACTCACAAGAGGGACGACACTATTTGTTACTATTGTTAACACGTCTCTGGCTGTAACCAAATCCAAATGAAAGACAGGCTGATTGGTTTCAGAACACACACAAGTTAGCTAATTATGCCTTGTGTAATTACAGCCAGCAGTTACAGAAACCAGGAGCTGAATTTAGAGGCATTACCACGGCAATGACTTTGATGTGCAGGTTTGACACAAGAGAAAAAAGAGGAGGTCAAAACACGACTCTCCCCATAGGACAGGTGTAGACAAGAGACTGCAGTGATAATGTCGGCATATCAAATGAAATCATCCTGAAACATCTTTGGCTGTAGCATTTGGCAATTCAACAAAGAAATAAATGCAGACATTGCTGAGGGATGAATTGCGATGCATTGATCAGATGTGGAGAAGAAGAAAAAGGGAGAAGGGTATAGCACAGAGGATATGAATGCATACACTTTGCTCTTAGAAATAAGGGTTCCACCTGAAAGGCAGAGGTTCTACCCAGAACCATTAACTTTTAAAGAACCCCCCACTTTTTTTGAAGAAAGGGTTCTTAAAGATTTCTTTGTAAGACTAAGGGTTCCATTTAGAATCCTGTTCATCCAAAGAACCTTTTTTTTTCTTCACACTCATGCTTTTAATGATAATTAAAAGCATGAGTGTGACCCTCACCCTTTACATATACAAATGATCACCCAGGTTTCGTCTGGTTTCGTAAACTAGGGTCCCCAGGTATTTTTTAAATGTAATGTATCTGGAATCCCCTTAATCAATTCATTGTACTGTGTTCTGCCATTTTTACCTGCATTTCATACCATACAATACCACATGGTCTGCAAAAATTTTACTTCCTTATTTTAAATTTACATATTTCTGATTTTAGCATTCTGTGTTTGTTCCTAAATTTAAAAAAGAGTTTCTTTTCCAATACTTCCCTACTGAAATAGTAAACTGTCGTAGTTCTGATTTCACAAAATCTCCACCCCATAGAAACATGATTGTGAAAAATGAGTGTTGTGCTTGACCAGGTCAGCCCCGACCCTTTAGCCTCATGAAGTCAAAGGATGCTGGACGTGGTACCCTTGACCTTTTATGTTGGGTTCTAGGTAGAATCCCCTGAGAGGATTTCAGGTGGAATCTTAATAAAAGGTTCTAACAGGGATCAAAAAGGGTTCTTCTATGGGGAAAAGTCAAAGAACCCTGTATGGTTCTAGTTAGTATCTAGTTAGTTATCTGAAACTATGGATAAAACACACACGCACACACACACACACACACACACACACAGACAGACACACAAGACAGACAGACAGCAAGACAGACAGACAGACAGACACACACACACACACACACACACCAATCTCCCAAATTTCTCCATAAATCCATCTGTGATTAAGGGCACAATCAACCAGTCAAGTAAAAAGGTGTGTATTAGTGCAAATGCAAAAACAGAACACAATGAAAATGGTCATGGTGTGAACGAGTGATGCAGGGCAGAGAGAAATAAAACAAGTCTATGCCCCTCACAACATGCAGGGTGAAATAAAACAGGTTGCCTTTTGTGCTTATAATAAGTCTCCTCTCATTCAAAAGCGTCTGCCAAGTTCATGCAAATTCTCGTCACATGCCTGCATGTCTCCATGTTTGTGTTGCAATTCAAAGGCTAAAAAGAGAGCTTTCATGTATTCGAAATACACGTGAGAACAGTAGTGAAGGGATTGAAATGCTCTGTGTGTTTGAATTAAAGTCTGCAGAAACGTTAATTTGAAAAAACAGCAGCCTCACACATGCAGATGCTCATTTATGTGTGTGTGTGTGTGTGCGTGTGTGTGTGTGTGTATAAGCAAGGAGACAAACACGCCAATGTTCAGAGCTGCAAATAACAACAGCTGTGGGTCAATAGTGTTTACTGCTGTGTGCTTGAGCGTGTGTATTTGTGGGCACCACTGAAAAAGGTTGGAGGAAGAGAAAGTGGGTAGAAAGGTGGATGAGGGAGATGATGATGTTTGGATCGTTCCGCTTCGAGAGGCTTCACATCTGGTCACCCGGCTGCTGTGGGTGTGTTCTGGGCCACGCGTCTCTCCAAACCCTGAGTGTGTTTGGTTCTTCTCTTGTACACCAAAATCTGGATTCTCATATTATTTTTTTCCTGTTTTTGGTTTCAGTCCTCTGCAGCTTCCGATGTGTTTGGCTCTGATGGCTCTTGGTTGGGCTGGGTGGGTTTGGTACTTGTGGTTTATGTGTCCAGGTTTTGATGGAGCCAGTCGGGCCTGGTTCCAAAGTCATGGCAGGAAGACAGGCGGTACCGGTTGGGCTGGCAGTGTGGTTGGTTGACATGTATACAGTGGGTCAGGCAAGTAGTTTGTTTCAAGAATTTGGCCGCAGCAGTTTTCATTGAGATTTGTTGTAGATGATAATTAAATGCTGATTATCTCACCACAATGTTATGAAGGTTATTGTCATGTCTAGGCAGGCGGAGCCATGCCATCCAAACTACAGTCTGGACAAACACTTCTTCTGTGGTGCTGGGAAAAATGGATGGAAACAACTGAGCTCTACTTTGGCGCAGATTTCTTCACCGTGTCAGTTTGCAGCACCAGTGCGTTGTACCCCCACAACAGACATCATTCCATTCATTCATTTCAAAGCATCAGTGGTCCAGCACTGCGACCATGTCACTTGATCCTGGGTCCTGGGATAATTCGGGTTGGGTTGACTGTGCCGACTGGGTTTGTCCGAGTGGAAGAGTAAGTCTTAGGACCCACCGGGAAACGTTGATAAATGCCAGGTTAGACTTGATTATTCTGGGTTCTGGTTGCGTTTCTGTTCAATGAGTAGCATCTGAGCTGGGTATGAATGATGATGTTGTTCTGGGTTACATCTGCTTGGTTAAGAATCTGGCTCTGGGTTAGAGATTCAGTCAGCAGAGGTACTCGATTAAGGACGAGATGTGGTTCTGGTTACTTGTTCAGTGGGAACTACTACTGGACTCAGGTCGGGCTTGACTAGCGGTCCGTGGAGCACCATACAGGGTCACTGATGCTATGTGGTTATTCTGCATCACCTGAGGAAGAGGGATATAGATAGTATGTGTTAAATTGGATTGGATCACATGCAAAAGGTATGGAGTTGAAATATTTGGCAATACTTTGCTCAAACAGTGTCCATCTGAAATGAGGCAAAGCAGCTAAACTTTCCGTAGACAGAATAAGGCTCAGATCATATCCTAGAGTTTACTCCTGTCTGAATCTGACATGCCAGCAATATTTATGGATTTAATTATAGTTTCTTTTACCTCTTACACAATGAAACCACCTCAGGTAAAACTTATACATATTTTTTAAATCGTGCAAAATTTGTATGGCATTTAGCTAAAACTGATACCAGGTTAAATTCTGGCCCACTTTTTGCCTGTGTGTTTACATTACTGTTGCAATATCATGGCTAAAAATGCCAATGTCAGAAGCAGAATTACATTTAAACTCATAGTATGTCATTTCTGCTACTAGAGGTCTCTCAATTAAAAACACAAATAACACAATAAATGGACTCTGATGAAGTTGAGCGGGATCATGGAAACTGTTGCGTTTGTTGTCAAACAACCATATAGAAACGCTTCTATGGTGACAACCACCTTTGAAGGTGAAAATCTGATGTGCTCAGCCAGCCATCATGCCATAATGGTCGCAGATTTAACTTTTATTCATGTTACATTTAGTCACAATTAGTCATTTCATTACAATCAAATGGCCGCAAATTAACTTGTTAACTTTCCATTAGCATTAGTTGAGTCAATGACCCATACACTTTAGGCTACAGGTACTGCTGCTAACATTATGTGTTGGGTTCAATTGTTGGGTAGCCCAGCACTGTTATCTGTGGTCAAAACAAGTCATACAATAGCACAAACTAACTGACAGAGCAAGGCAGTGGCAGATCAGTTGCTCCCGTGTTGTGTGAGATAAAAGGAATGGTTTCTGTCAAAGGAGTCTGGTAGCTTTGATGAGAGCGATATAACAGCTTCAACAGGGCAGAAGCAAAACACCTTTTAGCCACCTAAAATAGACCCACCAAAAAAATCTATACCAATTTAAGTGTACACTACATTTAAAATATTTTCACTGCTTTACCTTGCCGTCACACAGCCCATTCCAACAGGGAACTGAAGCCTTTATCTATGCTCTATTTAAAGCCACCAGACTCCATTAACAAAAACTGTAATTTTACCTTTCAGGACATGGGAGATACTGCTCTACGAACAAACACTTTAATACACCAAAGTCACAGAATAACGTCATTGTGACATTACCATAGGCATTAGCTTGGTGTCTGGCTTGAGCCACTTGTCATAGTAGTATATCATAAAAAGCTGGATCAATATTGAAATATCATATCAATAAATTTGGTCTCTACTGGATTACTGTGTTGCCAAATGGCAGGCAAATTAATTTAAAAAAAAAAAACGTGATGTGTGTCAGAAAATATGCTAAGTAAAATTCTGACATTGTATGATTTACAATTCTGTATCATCTGGTGTCTCCCCAGAAGTTAGAGCAACTAGAGGGGGTTAAGGGGATGTGATGCCATTGACAGGCAGCCAAATGAAATGCAACCTTTCTTGAATAAAATAACATTTTCTCAGGGTTTGAACATTGTTGGAAACATTTGGGATAATGTAAGCACACAGCTCAACAAAATATAAAATGTAAGTCTAGAGGTTTTTACGCATTCTAGTGCAGGAATGTAACATATTATACTTAAATCCATGGTACATCTAAAGTACAGAGAAACATATCCTGACCTCAAAGATCATCCTCTGCAGTCCAAAGCAGAAGGTAGAGCCAAAGGGGTTGGTGTTATTGGCTGATGAGGACCTGTCAAACACAAACATCTGATTATGTCAGAGAGGACTCTCATTTGGATAATATGACAGAAGTTCGCTATAAAAATCAAGCTTGAATGCTAGAATCAGAATCAGAAAAACTTTATTAATCCCAGAGGGGAAAGTGTTTAAATTGTTTGTTATATTCATTAACCAACAACACTAAATAATGCCAGCAAATGATCTTCAGTGTATGTGGGACACATTTAAAATAGCAATGTAACAATGTCACCCACTGTGTCTGTGTAGATGAAAGAGCATGTGTATGTACCTGTGGAGAACAACAGGTTTTTCCATCGGGTGACCGAGCAGTTCCTGAATCTGATCCCACTGACAGAGAATCAAAAAGTTAGCACACAATTGAAGAGACAACTTCTGTGGCAGTAGATACACAGGCTTGTTTATCCACTATCTTGTATCAAAAGGTCATGAGACCTGCATAAAAAGGCTGATGAGGGAAACAACAAGACTGTGGTTACATTCACTTCCTGGTGATGGTACTGCTGTGTCTGATGGCAGTATATATTCACATAGATTAGTGTGTAGTAAAGGAGACCGAGGGTGTAGATGCTCACATTATCGCTGAAGTAAAGATCTAATGTATTATCCTATTTTGACCATCTCCAAAAGAATTTCCTTCAAACAAAATTGAGGCAAATTCTGGGATAACAGTGATATCACAAGACTTAAATTACATGACTTCCTCTGTAGTTTGCCTACAAGATAACTGTAGCCGCAGTTTTTAACATAATATCCAACTTTTATGGATATAAAACAAAGAGTCTGTTGGTGATACGGAGACCCAGTTTTAGATGTAGTGATGCAAGAGAAAAACAACTGACGGTACTATCTTACACAAGGCGCAAAGTGGCGCACAGTTTAGCTCAACCATCATTGCTTATTTAAGACCAACAAAGTTGTAATTTATACAGCCAGCTCCCACGTTTTCCAAGTACGTGCACATCTGCGCACCCATGGGTGTGAAAGTCAGGTGTTGTGAGGCACATGGTTGCCGAATCACTATTTTGAGGCAGCAGAAAGCGGCTTCATTGACCAACAAAAATCTGGTCTTGAGTCAGAATTGCGCAGTATTTTCCTGCTATTTAAAGGGCACTTTATTCAGATACTTAAATGAGCCTACATAGGCGGGATCACAATGTGTGTTTACTCTGGTTGTTACACACACAAGGACACGTGGATGGGCTGTGGGTGGGTGAAATAACACATCATTCAAGGGGAAATATTAATTACATTCTCTAAAATGTGAACATAGCAGAGAGCAGCGCAGAGCTGCTCTCCGATTCCACACTGAAAGACGCACTTGTGCCATGCACTTTAGAGAACTACATGTAAACCACTAACAGGTAAGGTAAAAAAACATTGATCATCTCTTTACAATGCATTCTTCTGCTGGGAAACCTGTGGTCCTAACATTTATGTAGATGCCACTTGACACACAGCACCCACTCAAACACCACCATAGACCAAGTATTCCCCCTCATGGCAAGAGCACTCCCTGATGGCAGTGCCCCCCAGTGCACCATGCCACACTGCAAAAATTGTTCAGGAGTGGCCCAAGGAATGTAATAAAAAGCTCAAGGCATTGACCTGCCCTCTATATTCCCCAGATCCAACTCCAATCAAGCATCAGTGGGTTGTGCAGGTACCCCGCCAAGCAACTGACAGGACACAAAGAATCCACTGTCACTGCCCTGGTGCCAGACACCACAGAACAACCCCTGAGGTCCTGTGTCCATGCTTTGACAGGTCAGAGACCCCACTTGGCCCCATTGTCGAGTCATGGATACAGGACCATGAGACAGGGGTATCGGCATGTCCCTCAGATGCTCGATTGGGTTGGGATTTGGAGGCCAGGTCAACACCTTCAGCTCTTAGTCACATTCCTCTTTAATATTATTCATTTCACCCATCAGGGGTTTTAATGTTGTGGTTGATCAGTGTAGATTGTTATAACAGGGGACACAGAGTCTAAATTACAAAACTCAACTAAGACACCAGTTAAGACACCAGGCCAAGAGACCATGTCACATCATTACAGCGTTACCATGGCACCACCTTGTGAATTTACAACAGAGTACTGACCTCTGGCAAAATGTAACAGTTGTATGAATCTTGTCTATCACTGACCTTGCTGTATGTGGTTAAGATGCAGTCCTCTGTCTGAGACTCAGCTCCTTCTGAAGTGCAGGGATATAAAAACAGAGAAACCAGCATTAGATGAGAGGCAGATTAAAAATTATACCAGTCAAGCTGAGGCACTCAAGGTTCACTCTTTCAGTGATTCATGGCTGATAATTGTCTCACCTTTCTTTATGACTAGTGGAATTTTAAAGTCACATCGATGATATCTGTGATGAAAGGGAAAACAAACAAAAGCACAGAAAATTAAGGACAGAAATCCTACAGTGTAAAAGGTACAAACAGAGAAATAAGGGATAACTTAATGACACAATAACAGCTCTGGATGTGGATAATTACATACAGATGATGCAGTACTGTCAACAATGATGGAAAAAGACAGAAAGGTGGAGGAAAACTGAGTAAAAGAAGACACAGAAACAAGTAACTAGACAGCAAGATATTTACATATTGAAGTTGTAATGTCCGGGATAGTTGGTATGGAGAACAAACTTCTTAACCAGGTGAGTTGTAGAGTCGAACAGGATATCCTGAAATATAAAAACACAGTCTTAAAGATTGCTTTTGCACCCTATGTTTGGCAAGACCAGCTCATTACAGTCCTGTCTCATGCAAACAGCGGGTCGAAGAGAGGCACGATTACACCCCCACACCCGTTCATTATTACCAGCCAGTATCACCAGCTGGCCTCTGAGCAGATGCTCGAGCTTCTTGTTGAGAGGGTCTAAACACCAACTGACAGGATATTTTCAGTGAAATATGACTGAAAATAGACTTCACAGTAAACAGAAAAACGGCATGTACTTGTTACCTCCCATAGATGGATCTTGGGCTCGTTAGCACCACTACTGTGTGTACTATAATTTCTCCCCAAAAAGTACATTACCTTAAACAAGCACAGTGTTCAATATTGTCACTGTAAATCATCAAGCAAGCAAGAGAGAATCTTTTGGTAGAAGTTGGTGAACTACGCAGGATTGTAAGTTACTGATTGTGAACACAGCACTGTGCCTCTTGGATGCCTGCTCTATGGTCTGGTATCTGGTCACCAACTTTTTATAAAGCTCTGACCTCACCTGAGCACTAAGAGGGTACACGCCCATAAACTTCCCAAACGCAGAAAATAAGAAAAGAGGCAAATACAGAAAACACAGGCTGAGAGCAGAGTCTCTGCAGAAAAATACATCACCACACAATTCTAGTGGATCATTAGTGATGTTTGAAAGGGATTACTTCTGTATAAGTCTATACATTGTTTCCTGCATAGTAAGTCTTTTCAGTGAGTGAAATCTCTCAAAAAATAACTGTATGAATTCAGTTTAGGACTGCACCATATGCAAAAAAAAAATCATATTGCAATCATTTTGACAGATACTGCAATTGCGATACGAGTCATGATTTTATTGGGAATGGTAATTTTTGCATTTAGTCTGAAAAAGTATAATGATGATCATGTGATTTTTGCTGGGGTCTGTACCAAGCAAGCATGTTTCCTTATGTCTGGAATATGATTTGTGGGCCGCAGCATCTCTGCAGCTTGTGTGTTGTAACATATTTTACCTTTTACAAAATCTGCAGCTTCTGTGATTTGGATATTGCACTTGACCATAGTAATTGTGCAGCCCTAATACAATTGACATTAAAAAAAAAAAACAATTACTAAACTATAGTACTAACTTGGCCTCTAAGGACCTCAACGAATACAGACCGGTAGCACTGACATCTGTAGTAATGAAGTGCTTTGAGAAGCTCGTCCTTCAACACCTCAAAGCCAGTCTCCCTCACCAGTTTGCCTACAGGGCAAACCGCTCAACAGAGGACGCCATCGCCACAGCTCTGCACACGGCCCTGAGCCATTTGGAGCTCCCAGGGACCCATGTCAGGATGTTGTTCGTCCCCCCAGGGCTGTGTACTGAGCCCCCCTCCTGTACACCCTTTACACCTCTGACTGCACTCCCATCCACCCCTCGAATACCATCATCAAGTTCGCTGACGATACCACTGTGGTTGGCTTGATCACGGGGGGGGGGGGACAAGTCAGTGTACAGAGAGGAAATACGGGAGCTGTCAGAGTGGTGCAGAAAAAACAACTTGGAGCTGAACGCCACAAAGACCAAAGAAATGGTCCTTGACTTCAGGAAGCGAGAGGGGACCATGCTACACTCACCATCTCTGGAGAGTGTGTGGAGAGAGTGGCCTCCTTTAAGTTCCTGGGGTCACACATCTCAGAGGACCTCAGCTGGACGATCAACACATCAGCACTGATTAAGAAGGCCCAGCAGAGACTCCACTTTCTGCGGGTGCTATGGAGGCACCACCTGAAGGAGAAACTGCTGGTGTCCTTCTATAAGGCCACCATAGAGTCAGTGCTGATGTACTGTGTGTCTGCATTGTTTGCTGCCTGCTCAGCTGCAGACAGGAAGGCTCTGCAGAGGGTAACCAGGACGGCGGAAAAGATCATCGGTTGCCCTCTGCCCCCCCTGATGGACATTGCCCGCTCCCGCTGTCTTAGAGCACAGAGGATATCTGCAGACTCCTCCCACCCTGGTAAGAGTCTGTTCAAACTGCTGCCATCAGGAAGGCAGTTCAGGTCCCTGAAATCCAGGACCAACAGTCTTAAAGACAGTTTTTATCCTTGGGCCATTAGAACCCTAAACTCCTCACTCTAACCACTGCTGCTTTTATCACCCGTTAAATTGTGAACTGTTTATACTGAATAACAACTGTTTACATCAACGACACTGTGCAATATCTGTGTACTTTACCTTGCACTACCGGACTTGCACTTTTGGGTGTGCATCACTGTATATTACTGTGTATTCTTTTTATTTGACTCCTATATTTATTTGACTCCTTTAATATTTTTATTTGACTCCTTTATTACTATGCCATTCTTTTATACTATTTGATTTTTTACAGATTCTATCCTTTTTTTCTACTTGATTATGCACTGTACTGAGGAAGCTGCTACAATTTCATCATGCACCAGTATGATGACAACAAAGGAAATTCTGAATTCTGACGCACACAAATAAGCCTAGGCTGAGTTTACGTACCACTCCGAGGGTGAAGTAGTTGAAGAAGTAGTCGTTACATTTCGAAGGAACCTGCTTGTGAGGTGATGGAGAGTGGATCTTCATCTAAAATAAAGAAGAACATGTAACAATACAGACAATAAACAACAATGTATGCCTTCACAATTAACTGACTATTTTCATGTTCAGCAGATAGAAACATTTGCATTAATTTGAATATCTGGCTTTTTGTCTGATAAAGTGGAAACAGACAACTTTCAACTTTTTCCCAACCTAGCATTTCCAAGTGGTATTACTGTTGGTGCCGCTGTCACAAAGACAACTAGAATGCTTTCCATCTTCCTCAGAGCCTAGCAACTACCTACAACACAGGACACAAAGCATTTTGTTTTCCACAACTGCTTCATTTGTTCCACCTTGCGCTATTTCTGTTATTGGGTATAGTAACTGCAGTTACATTGGTACTCTTTGGTTACTGGGGACAGCTACAAATGGCTACCGGGGAAAACAAATGCACCACCCTCTCCATGTTTTGGCTGAGCAACTACATGGTGAAAGCAAGGCTTATAAGGAACCAATCTGAATGCAGATGGAGTCATTATTCTATAGCCATTACATTGTGCTATAGACATTTTCATCATAATAAGTCAAAGAAAAAAAAACATGCCTATTTTCACTTTAAATGTTGGACTTTCTTGCCTGTCTGCTGTTTGGTGCAGTGCAGGTAGTGTACAGCGGGTTTATCAGGGTTTTTCTGCCTGTTGCTACTGGAGAAGGGTTTAAGAAAAGTGGTGAGATTAAACCCAAACGTACACTTGTGATCATTAAACCAGAACAATGAGCGGATAGACACTAAAACACTTTGCACAAGAGCAGAGTTGGGTGATAATGGCCATTCGGTTCGTAAAAGACTTGATTACTTTGGGTAAAAAGAAACTATCACAATCACAGGGGGGATATTGAGCTGTCAGACTGATGGAGGACAGGATGTAGATCGGGACAGGACGAGCAGGGCTTAGTGAAAATGATACAAGTAGCTTAATCAACAACAACACTGAAAGGAACAGAGTTTTCCTACCTTGTCCTCAGACTTGTAAAAGATTTTATGTGGCGAACCCAGAGCACCCAATACATCCTGACAGGAATCTCCAAAGTAGATGCTCCTTTCTAGGGACTTCACTTTAGCATCAGCCATCACACCTGGACCACATCCTGCTCCCACACATTACAACACCACAAGAAAGGAAATAATTAAATTTCCAGATACATGACGAAAAAGCAAAGTTAAACAGCATGCCATCGATAATGACTGTCTCCGTGAGTGCAGACTGCTGGACAAAAACATTTTTCCATGTTTACCTTACAGATAGATCTACATGGTCCAGCCAGAGACCTGCAGCTCAATCTGTGGAGCGTTTGTCCATGTCAGGGTTACATAGTTAAAAGGTATATTGTTACTGTTTGTAAGCACACTTGCCAGCAAAAGTGAAAGGCAACCCCAGATTTACTCTCTTGGCATTTTGCCTCACCATATTTGCATTATTTACAGCACTGCGACTACGATTTTCGTACTCCTCTTGAAAGCATATTGCTTACAGTCTTGCAACCTTTTTATAAAATCTCGACTCCATCTGAGTGCTGCACGCAGGAACGTCCTGAACACAGCAAAATAAAGGGGAGGGAGAGGGAAGAGGGAAGATTCACTGCCACGCACCTCTAGTGGGTCATAAGAGATGAAATTACAAAAAAGTTAGATAGTTAAAGATCAGTCAGCAGTGGAGACAGACGAATGTGAACAATGGGGATGATGATTTAACAAAATTCTTCACTGGTTGAATTTTCTATTTCAACTTTGCAGCAGTGTTACAGATTGTGGTAGCAATGTCAACAGAAGTCTGCAGGCAAGAGAAACAAAAACATCCTGTGAATCAAATGTAGCTATGAGGACATGTGAGGAAAACACTTTGGCCAAATGCTGCTTCTAATCATAATTCTTAGTTCCCAGTCCTCAAGACATACAGAGACACAGAGACATATGTTACCTGCAGTGAGAAGGCGGAGTTTGAGTCCCAAAGGCCCGGCCTGATCTCTCAGGACATCCACACACTCTGCAAAGATGTTACCAAGGAAACAAGCCAGCGGCATCGCCGGAGCTCTGAGGACACAGAGAACAGTGTGTGTGTTTGTGTGTATTTTTATGGCTTTTTTGTTGTTGTTCTCCACACATTTGTTCAATTCATCACAGGTTAAAGGTCCAGTGTGTAAGATTTAGGGGGATTTAGTGGCAGCTAGGTGTGAGGATTGCAGATTGCAACCAGCTGAAACTTCTCCTGGTTAGGGATTCCTTCTGTGTTCTTTGTTTAGGAGGTTTTTACAGGGAGCTGGATTATCAGAAGATTAACAGACATAGTGATTTAAAGACATAGTGATTTAAACCGCAAAAAACACTGAATAAAGCAGTTTCCCCAGTACAAATCAGTGTTTCTTCAACACTGTTTGGTTTGTTTGGAAATGTTTACTGTATTTTCACTGAGAGTAGTTCGATGCAGATTCAGATGGTTCAACTCCTCCAAATAATTCTGTGGAATAATAAACTTTGGTAGAGGTATGTTACCTTGTTTCTTGCAGGTTGTTGCCAGTGTAGATGTGCATCCTCTTGACCATGGCCCCATGTGGAATCTGCAGGGAGGCCAAACCCATGGCAAAGTTAGGCTGCCAAGGCAAAACAACTGGGAGTAGTATGGGACTGGTATGTGTGTGCATATTCACAACAAATCGATGTTTTACAGAAAATACAAATGCACAGAGAGGTGTGATCATTTTGACGAAGCACTGTGGGGTAAAACGTCTCAGAAACACAATAACTGACCTAAACACCCATGTTTCAGAGGTGAAAACTCAGGTATAGAAGCAGATCAAGAGACAGACCCGCCCCTCTCTTTCTCAAACCCGGACCAAAATCCGATCAAACAGTACAACTAGGCACCGCTTATCAAATATAAACAAAGATTCAGTCACTGAGTTGCCTTTTTCTCACTTCAAATGTTTCCAGAAACATGTTTTAGTTTATTGTTAACTGTAAGAGATTTTTTTCTAGCAAACTGGCCGCAGTCAGAAATATGTTAGCAACCGCCTTTTTTAAGACTTATAGTAGGTTCAAAGTTCACAAGTAGGGTATTTACTAATGTGCTTTATGTCACAGAACAACACCTGAAAGTCTCTTAAGACTGTGTTAACCAAAGGCATCTAACCAAAAACCCACTGAAAAAACACACTGACTTTGAGACAAGGGAATTGTGAGTGGTAAAATGCAAACTCATTTCTGGGGTTTTAGGACTCATTCCTGCTGCACTCTATTAGTCTGGTGCAGTTCACTGCATTCTGGTAGCTGTAGGTTTTCTTTATCTTGAGCAAAAGTGTCCTTTTTCTCTATTTTCTCTGATTCTGTAGCAACAATTTCAAAAGTATTTGTGTCTGTCTACTGAATAGACATCCTAGTTTTATAAAGGCCATCTTTCCAGCAGTGAAGTGCCCTTTAAATGGAGGAGTATCTGTATTTTTGATGGTATTGAAAATCATACCTTTGGGATTACTACTTATCCTGGTATACTGTAATACCTTAATACCACCCAAGCCTACTCAGTGCATTGTATCAGTTTTATCTAAAAAACCCTCAGAGAATCTCAAACACATTCAACTAACATCTTATACACACATAACAAACAGGAAACACACGACAGCTCAGTGTTGAACTTTAGACTAAGACATGCAAATATTCTAACTCAAACTAGAAGCTGAAACTGAACCTGCACACGACGATACAAGCACAAGCTGTTGTTTCAGTCAACCAAACAAAACAAAACCATTCAACCAGCTCAACATGCAGCACAGGGCAGACTGGGAGGTTTAAGAAATAATCTATGCAGTAATCATATTGCAGATTATGTTGGGGCTGCAGAATGGCTAAACCAAAAACATGAGATAAGCTGCAAAAACCTTATCAATGGGATATGAAATTCAGCTGAGAGAGCAGTAAAACCATCAATATGTGACGTGTGCTTTCACAGTAGCAAGCTGCAGAATGGAGCAGATGGTGGAGCAGCTGTTTTATGACATACATCAGCCAAGACATTCACAGCTGTAGAGCATATACAATAGACATCTGACTAACTGTACATGCTTAAATCCAAAACCAAATCCACATAGGCAAAAACCTCACGTTATGAATGTATTAACCTGCAGTTAGCAGACTGTGTGTAAACACTTGACTTTGTCTGAACTGTAAGTTGCCGGGTGTCAGTGTTGTCTTGAAGAATTTAATTATGAACTTGTGTTCCCTGAACCAACCCAATTCCTTAAACTCTCTGCTGCAGTCTGACTTTTACTGCTTACATAACACTGAGTCTTTGACATCTCAACAGCAGAACACTTGAATTTGTACTTGGTGCATTTTGAGATCTGTCACAGTTCCTTTTAACATTTCAGAAAACCTGCGTCAAAGGTTTTGCATCCTAGGGTGTGATGAGGATCACATCTCTAAGGATTTTGGATCACTGGCATCCAAGAAAAAGAAATGTGCCCAAGATGAAACAAGCAGCAGGACAATCACATTCTCAGCATGCATTTGGTTTCTGCATTCAGTCCCACATTAGGCTATTTATTACCACAACATCACATCATTCTGACAGGGATTCAGGGGCATGCTCAAGGCAAACATAAAGGCTGACCTTCTCCATATGCAAGGAAATCACTTCAATCACAAGCCTGCCCTGATTCCCCTGGGATGTAAAGAAAGGACATCTCAGCCCTTTTTTAACTGACTGACCAACAAACTGACTCTCACCTCATATTTCGGAGCTTCATTCCATGAGTCCAGTTGGAAGGAGAAGGACAGGCCTCGAAAATTGAGATGGAACAACTGCTCTGCAGCATTGTAAACTGGCCAGGGAGGAATGAAGATGAAAAAAATATCATGACAGAGATAAATTAGATCAGAATATGGTTTCATTTGTGAGACATTTTTGGGGTGTTTATGCTTTGTCAAGTACCTCCAGGGTGCGTAGCTCCAAATGACTGGTCTATTTGCTCTATTGTGGGGGCAATGGCCTGAGAGTTGAAATGGACTCCACTGAAACAAGTACACACACAGCCACAGTTACATCTATTAACATTCATATAGGGGGTACTGCATTAGCTGAGGAGCTGTTACCAGACAAGTGAAACAGATTCCACTGAAAGACAATCATACACATAGACCTTCTGAAACACATTAACACAGGCAGACTCCATTACACTAAGTACCTGTACATACTGGAAGGAGCTATGACTTGTAATTGAAAACAGTCTCTGTGGCAACATACAATGGACAGTGTACACATACAATGACCATTATATAGAGCCATGCCCACAGGAAAAGGCCATATACTGTAACAAGGGTCTAAGATGGTTTAATCATTGCTGCATTAGTTTTTATTCCATTTTAGTTTCTTAACACCTTTCACCTCAATTTAGCATTAATATATCTACTTACCAGTATTTCAACTTGACTTTGCTCAGTTCATACACTTCGATCACCTGTCACTCAAAAAGAGGAAAAAAGTTACATAACTTATGGTTAGTTAAATGTCAATAACAAAGTTGAAGAAGTCTAATATCTCTGCCGGTTATCTAGAAATGGGAGGAAGCTTTCAGTGGTGCTGAGATCAAAAAATGGCTAATGGTATGCCACTAGTGGTTCAACTGCATATGCTGATCCCTCAGTGGCATGCCGGTCCCTGGAGTGGTATGCTGACCCCTGATAGCAATTGGATAGTCATTCAAAGTATTTATGGTAATAAATGAATAACATGTCATATGTATGGCTGGTTAATGTTCCGTAGCCAGCGTAGTCAATTGCCATGTTAGCTAAGGCTAGCTCTAATATTAGTTTCAGGGTACATCAGCGAGGATATGCCTATCTGAAACTATTCAACCGTCATTTCAAAAGCATTGCACATATGCCAACAATATAAGTCTTAACTTAAAGTGATACTTTCCTTTATTTACAGTGCTACGTTGTGCTTCATTGTCAATAAAGACAGCAAAAAAATATAGATTAACAGTACAGAGTCTTGGGGTGGTATCGGTGTGAAACTGTATATGCTGGTGGAACAAGAGTGGTATATCACTACATGGATCGGCATATGCTGCCAAACCGCACCATCTCCCATTTTTCAATCTCAGCCACACTCGAAATTTTGCAACTGTTGCTGATAAATAACTGTAGAGAAATACCACAGCCCTCTCTTCTCAGTATCTGGTGCGCAAGTTCAATTCACCCCCTGCTAAAATTCCTGTCTAATGTTAACTTATAAATATCCAGACCCTGAGCTTATGGCTTTCAGTCTCCTAAAGTCAACAGTTTTCACCTTGAGTCTCTGATTTGTGGCATCAAACAGCAGTTTAATCCCATCCTGAGTCAAGTTCAGTATGAGGTCATGGCTGAGTGGCGTCTGGAGGGAAGATAAACAAAGTAGTTAATTAGCAAAAAGGCCCTCGTCAACAGATATGCAGATAGGCAAACAATCAAAATCAGCTCTTTCTCAACTTAGGTGGAAACAAGGCACAATCCGAGAGTTTAATCAAGACATAAATGGACTCTCTACGTTCACACTTGCTCATGCTTGTGTTCAATTCAGATTTATTGCTCTGATCCGATTTTTTTGTTTGGCTGTTCGCATTATTTTTTTAAATGGGGCCAGTATCACACAACATGCTGTTGTATGGAAGTAGACAATTCATTTATAAGCTGATGCGCAGTGGAACCCAGCTGAGATGATAATGAGGACAGGGATAAAGAAAGCAATTTTTTTATTATGACTTTTTGTTGAGAAATGGCTGCTACTTAAGTACACAGGTGTGTGGATGTGGAGTCGGAGCCAAGTGTGGTGGGATCCTGACATGAATGGCATTACTGAAACAGATTTCATCCAAAATTTAAGGATTTTTTTTTTTTACACTGACATGTAACATGTTTTTGGTTTTATATATTTTAATTTTAAATCTTTTTTGAAGAATTGTGACCAAGATAAGTGCTGTGCAGGACACGTTTGAAAAACACACATTTTAGTGCTCTCTGGTGGACACACTATGTAATGGCAACACTATATCTAAATAACCCCGAACATATGTTCTGCGTTCCTGTATCTCATCACCTTAAATGCACAGCAATACCAATGTATCAGCAAGAATTTGACCAAATAGAGAAATTTAGCCAAAAGTGTTATAAAAATCCAAATAGTTGGGGTTGTAAAATGATTGAAACAGCTAATGCCACAGAGGAAAACTGAAAAAAAAAAAAATGGGCCGCTGCCTCCAACCGGATTCCGAAACAAGGTGGTTATTTTTTTGTGACCGTATGTGTAAGTGAGAAACAGAGCACATAATTAAGACAGATATTTGACCATCTCACCTGTTCACTGTATAGCACCTGGACATTTTTGATGATGCGGCAGTGTTTCTGTAGAATAGAGATGGCCTGGGCCAATGGCATCCCTGGAAACACAGACATACACATGCATGCACAAATGAAGAGACGCAACATTATTATTACAGAGACTGTGCCATCAACTGTTAACAATAACATGCAAGGAAAATGACTGTAAATTTGATACATGCATGTGGCTTCAAACATAAATGAATGGCATATAATCTCATTCCCTTTCTCCATCTGTGTTTATGCTCTTAAAAAAGTTGTTGCAAAACTCACCTAAGGCGAATTCCCATTGCTCATTTCCTAATGATCTCTCAGGCACCACCTCCAGATCCAGCATTGGCAAGTAGTGGGGGGCAGCTTACCTCAAGACACAATGGGACCCTCTGAGGGACCCTTTCTCTTCGCCTGTCTTTCCCTGATCACGGCACAGTCTTACAATGTCTTCAGACAGCTACTTTAATTCATAACTCTATCTACTTATTTCACTAAAGACACCAAATTCATGAGTGTGAGCATCAAACAGCTGCTTAATCTATGGTTTACAATGAAAGGTGGCCACTCTCACACGTCATATGTAATAAAAAACGTGTTAAATATTCAAAATGACATCCACAGAGCCACCTGAGGCTGAACACCTAAGGCTTGCAGAGAAACGTATGTTTTAAATTACAGCTTAACAAGTTACCCAGCAGAGACTGACAGCTTGCACACACACAATATTAACGTTACGCAACCTGCCAGCCAAACTAAAACGCACAAGGCCAGCTGTCTGTTAATCTATTACTCGTTTGTGTGGTTTAAAATCGATATAGATAAAAAAAAAATGACTCGATTCAAACTCAAGGATAAACAAGCAATAAGTCAGACGTGTCTAACAGCAACACACGTCTCCTTCAGGCTTCAAATTAACATCCACTTGTTCGGTTACAGTGCTGTCGTGTGTCTCCAACGAACCAACACAAAACCTGGTCCAGTGACAAACACCTAAAAAAAAAAATTAGAGGCACCAAAATAATGTCTCCAAAACGGACAGTTGCGACTGTTAGCTATGTGTCACTGCCGGGCGGTTACGAAAGCATCAAAGCTTGACAACAAGACTGTTTCTTTGCGCTATGGGCTAACGTTAGCTGACGAGCTAGGTGCCCTCTGCGCTATGGTAATAAAGTATAAATATAAATAACGTATGTGCAGAAAAAAATTCTAAATTCAAGACAAAGAAAATGAATACTGCGGTTCAGACTGGCACGACATAAACAAAGAAAGCACGCCAAGCCGTCGGCTGTCTTTGCTGTTTTTCTTTCTTCCTTTCAGCGAAGGTTCAAGCTTTGGAGCTGTTAGCTCTTCTGCCGCTAGTGCACAAATTCAAAGTCCTCTCTGAGAGACGCTTCGCTTGTAACTCGGAAGCTCCTCGGCCGGTAAATGTCCACTGTGTCCCTTACTCGGGTTTAATGTGTCTTCAATGTCAGGAGCAGATAAGAGCAACACAGTGTCCAAACAACAGCAACTTCGGGCATCAACAACAGCCAGCGGGATCAGCTGATCAGTCAACTTCCTGTGTTCTCCGTTAGCGTGATGACGTCATGGTCAGCTGACGCAGTGGCCAAAAGCGGTTGCAAGCAGCTTGTTAAATTAAATGTATTAATTTAAATGAGACTTCTCTGGTTTTGTTGGTGACACAGACTATCTTGTCAAAATTCCAGACAGACTTCCAATAACTATTAATTTATATTTTCAAACCTAGAGCTTGGTAGGAGGAGTTATGACGCCTGGCAAAGTCTCCTGCGATGACCATTGGTAGCAACATTTTTTTGTCTTTGATGAAAAATGATGTATGATGGAAAATGTGTGTTATGTGATTATGAAATTGAAACTATTTGTCAATTATTTTATGGATGCATTTATATAAAATGATATTGGAATATATTATATTAGAATATTACTTTAAGATGCTGACTGGTTCAGTTATTTATTTAGAAAAAATAGTTTTTTTTAATGATAAGATTGCTATTGGTTGCAAAAAAAACTGTTTAACTTGAACCTTTTTTATTTTATATGGAAAAATTTATATTCACAAATGCAAATGGACTAAAATGTAAAGCCTTATATTTTTTGTGATGTTGTTTAAATGATACCCATATGTATGTGGGTGGGGTTTTTTGTCCTTTTTTGTTGTCTTATCAAAATGTATAACTCTCTTTGTTTAAGATAGCTGTATGGGTTGAATATGATACAAAAAAATAAATAGAAAGTGGCTGAAAATAATGAAAAGCAAGAAAGAACAAACCTCTTTGCATTTTATTATTGTAATAAGGCGTTCATTAACAGAACCTCCCTTTAACTTAATTTATATAGTTTTATTTCATGTAAGCTAAGCTCACCCTCATTAATCATATTCAACTTAGTCTAGCATTTTACAGTGTTTCCATATGTTTATACATCTATCTGAATAGATGCCTCAACTGTTTCATGATTTTATTCCTTTCTTATATGCTATATTTTTTTAATATATTAAATTTAAATAAAGTTTTGGGAGGAAAACAAATAAAAAGCAACATCAGAACACATTATAGAAATAACAAAACAAGACCCTTTGACAGGTAGTCCATACCTTGTTGATGTTGAGGTTTATCGGTTTGCTGTTTTTTTTGTTTGTTTGTTCTTTGTATGAAAAGGCCTAATTTAATTGCTTCTCCATCCTGCTAAAACATTGCACTGTCTGTTATTTTGTTGGTATAACAACCGCATTCAAATAAATCAAAAGTGATTATTTTACAGTGCATTGTGTATTTCTGAATTTGCAAATTTGGAGACTCTCCCTTAAGCAAAAGCAACTTTTGGCCACAAGTGATCTCTCTCCTTCTTAAAGTCACTTAGCTCTTCTCCTCAGCAGCTGGCTCCTTTTGGCTGATATAGAGCATCATATTTAGTGTTTCATTTCTTCTCACCCTGGCTCCCAGGCCTCCCATTTCTCACTCAGGAGGGCCATTTTCAGATGCTGAACCGTTGCGTGGGCATCCATTATATTTTTTGTGACCCCCCTGAGCACATTTACTTTGTCTTTGTGCTGCTTCTTGAGCTTGCTCTCCTTTGCCACCTCTCATTTATGAGATAACATATCTATTCCACTAGTTTCATTCAATGTACAGGATCAGAAAAATAGGCACACATTCAGACATAGCGCATATGCTTAAAACAGTACAAATTTTGACATGTGACTTCACAAAAAATGCAGGTGAAAATGATAACATTAATGATGACTCAATTCCATCTAGCAGATTCAGGGTCCTACTGTGCATGCTGCTGGCTCACTGTCACACTATCATGACTTACTGGGAGCTAATGTCATAAACTTTCCTCCTGAAACAGGTCAAAATGCCTGCTGTGAAAATGCCTTTTTAAGGCTGTGCATGCTCACACAGGTGTTTTCACTTTCAGCTGATCAGAATGCTCTTGCTAAAGGAGGGTGAGGCTATGCTGGGAATATTGTGACGTTAAAAAACTCTACGTAGTAATAATAATTATTAAAGTGTTCATTTCCTGACCTAACATTAGAAACAAAACAAATGTGAAAGTGAAATGTCCATCAAGCACAGTCACCACAAAGTCTTGAGAAGAAGTCCCATCAGGCAAAGTGAAACACCTGTGTAGTCCAAGCTATGTGGGATCATTAATCAGGGGCATGGGCCTGATTACCGAGGGCCCCTATGGGAGGGGGGCCCTTGTAAAGCCTGGAGTGAAATTTTTATTTTTTATTTCTAAATAATCTGTGCCATAACTAAATTAAAAATGGCTGACAGACTGAACTTTGTATAAAAAAGTGGACACTCTCTGAGGCTCCTCTCACCCCTTTAAGGCACAAATGGTTCAGTCTGCCCCTGCACAAGGCAGGAGTTAAGCGGATTTAGTGAGTGCTAACATTGCTGGAGAATCAACATACACCGTCATTTTCCCAAGTCAGGGAAATCAAGGTTCCAGAAAAGAAAAGAAAGAACAGGAAAGGGAGAGAAGGCTGACTACCCCACTGTTGTATGCCTCTGCGCACCAGTCAAGTTTCTCCTACAGTTTACATCCATGTCTGCGAAAACATGGATGCTTCACACCCATCTTCCCCCCCGGCAGTACCAAAGATCTACACAATCAGCATAGTATTAAGGTGGGCACCCTAGATTAATGTCACCAATTCAGTATCCGACCAAATGTCTCCCCTTCTGCCCCTGAGATATGACGTTGACTAATGGCCAGGAAAGTGTTTTACGAACAATATCATGATGTCAAAGTGAAGTTGACTCCATTATTATATCCTATTAGACATTTAGATGAAGTTTTGTCATAATTAGCTTAAGAATTCTTGAGTTATGGCCAAAAATATGTTTTGTGAGGTCGCACCAGTCTTGACCTTTGATCTGCGGCCACCAAATTTTAATCAGTTCATACTTCAGTCCAAGTGGATGCTTGTGTCAAATTTAAGGAAATTCCCTCAAGGTGTTCTTGAGATTCCAATTTTACGAGAATGAGACAGATGCAAGGTCATACTGATAGTGACCTTTGACCACCAAAATTGATTCAGTTCATTGTTGAGTCCAAGTGAACATTTGTACGAAAATTGAAGATATTCCCTCAAGGTGTTCTTGAGATTCCAATTTTACAAGAATGAGACAGATGCAAGGTCACACTGATAGTGACCTCTGACCACCAAAATCTAATCAGTTCATTGTTGAGTCCAAGTGAATGTTCTGCCAAATTTGAAGAAATTCCCTCAAGGCTTTTTTTGAGATATCACATTCACGAGAATGGGATGGACGTACCAATGGATTGCTTTGGCTATTGCCAGCGCAGAGGCATAAAAATCAAAAGGTAAGAGACATGATTCACAGGGCCCAGGTGATGGTGCTACGTCCCTGTCTTTAATTACAGTGAAGTGTCCGTTTCAGTGTAAAAAACAAACAGCAACAGAAACAAATGCAAGAATTCATACATGTTTATTATGAAAAACATCCAACATTTTGAATTGAATATCTCATATTTCAGATTCCTCCGAGAGGACAAGCTCAACCCTAAAACAGAGGGAAAGACAGACCACACACACAGGAAGGAGAAACTTGGAGAGTGTGTACAAGCCACTAAATATCACAGAGTTCTTCTTTGGATCTCTAAATAAAACCAAAGTATAAATAACTTAAACAAATAAGAAGATAAACAGTTTAAAAAAAAACGAAAGAAAGAAAGACAATGTTTGTGATTTCTTTTTTGCCTTAATGCCTGCATTAAGAAAATTGAGAGATGGAGTATCAACCAAGGTTTTTACATGGGTAACCATCTAAATAATGGTTTAATGATACATTGGGTTGGTGGAGTGAGTAGTGAGGACAGGGCGGTCACTTTCTACCTACAACCTAGACACTTTTACAATCACTCCCTCACTAATGTTTCTTAACCTGAGCACACTGTTGGAATCCATAAGGATATAGCTGAACTGCAGACATGGCAGATTTTATGAGAACTCCCAAGGGTGATGTTATTTCTAAGATTTATCAGGGACACAGCTTGATTGGACATCATCTAGCTGTAGTACAGACATAACCAATAAATTCACGACTTAGAGGTTTCCAAAAGCATACAATGAGCCTGGGGGTGCCCATCTCAAACCGTACTTCTGCCTCTGACCGTCCACCCATCTAACCTCTTATTGTACTGGTTGACACCCAGTGCTCTATCAGTTCCCACTGGTTCCACCACCCTCTACACTGTCAGACTCAAAGATATAACAGCCACTATGCTCCCACATGTTCTAATGCCTCTCTCTGTCCCTCCATCCGCCTCAACCCCTCATTCAGAGTCTTTAATGCGACTCCACTACTGCATCTCATCTGCTGGACTCTCTCACATAACAATATCCAACTCAGCCAAGTCCCAAAAAACACACCACTTATCACACCAAAGTGTCCTTAGGTAAAGAGTATGTTTGCCACATTCTTCAACTAATTAAGCACTGGCTCACGAGGCCAGCTGACTTTGCATGATCAGTACACTGAGAAAAATTAAAACATTTAAGCTGTTCTCCCCAGTCTCCCATGAGAAAGTAATTCTCTGACCTTATCTGAATTAAGTCCTCCCAAATACCCAAACATCAGGATAAAAATCCTGCATTGTCTTTGTTGTACCATGAGCTTGATGACTTGGTTTGCTTTTTGTTAATGACGCTGTAGGAAGTCTTCAATAACTTTTTTCATTTAAATTTCAACTATTATTTTGAGCAAAAATGTTTCTTTACTGTAAAACTTCTTGTAAAATGTTACAAACACATGGCTATCAAAATGACCAGTTTTCTTAGCTCATGTAAACTCATCAAAATTCTTAATATGTCAGACTGAGAAAAAAGCATTAATTAACAAAGAGGGTTTTTTTTCTTTTGCTTTGAACAAGTATAATAAAACCGTTGAGTGCACTAAAGGTAAAACACACTGGAAAATGAAATGAGCTTCTAGTTGCACAATATAAAAAAATAAAAGGGCTTGAGTCGATCCACATTCAATGTATTTAACCCAGGAAGTGGATTTACTTACCAAAAAAAAAAAAAACCCCAATAAAAATAACAATAAAAAGGAACACATGAAACAATGCAGAACTAAAGCAACAAAAGTCCTCAAAACTCCCAAATTTCTGGAGACGTTTTGCAATTTCCAACTTAACTTGACATAAAATAGCCTAGCGCTGCTACTACTAGCTCATAACAAAGCTGAAAGATGAACACAAATGAATACATATACAGAGGTGAGAAGTAATATAAAAAGTAAACATCATGACTTTCACACAAACAAAACAATACAATAACAAAACATACCATTTCATTACACTAGTGCTGTAACAGGACAGGGAATAGTATTTTGACTGCATTTAGGCTTTGAAAGTCCTTTAATGATGAGGGATATCTGGGCGATTGATCGATCAACAGGTGGATATTAATTACACTGGATTCGCTTTTTTTTAACGGTAGAAGTAACAGAAGTAATATATTACATATGCAACTGATGTGTTTTTGAAGAGGTTGTGAGCTTGTGTCTTTGACATCCACTTGAACAGTAGCATGTTACAGTATGCTGCCTAACATCTCTGTCGTCTTTGGTAAAAACCACATATCTCCTGAATGTCAACTTTTCATGAGCTAAGAAAAAAGCCCTGTTTTCAGCTTTGTGACGAAGCACTGTCAGAAAACCCAGTGGCTTTTTTAACAATTCATTTAGCATACAGAGTAAGAAATGTTACTCAACCTATAAAGGAACTCTTAAATCATTCAGTTTTGCTGAAAAATTCAAAATTACAAAATTTGGAGGTACGTGGTTTTCACTAGACAGTGATGTTAAGTTATGACGACTCTGTGGCACTGAAAAATACACTTAATTTTAAAAGAAAGGGGTTGAAATTAAGGGTCTCCACCTTCATGCAAAAGGTTGGAGTTTATTTTTGCCTGACAGTCACACCACGTCACAAGTCCACTTGGGTGACACCTCCTGGTTAGGTTAAAAAAAAGGATGCTTTTGTACCTAGTTGAGCATGCTACTGTTTGGGTCTATGGCAAGAGACCACCAACATTTGGCTTCACAATGACTTAGACCTGAATCACCCAGTTATTCCTCATCAAAGCGCTGTAAAGAGAGTGCTTTCATGATAAATAGGCTGCATAGGGAACAATAAAGAACATAGGTAGGCCTGTGTTTGGTTTCATGCATATGAAGAAAATCCATGTGGAGAGCAAGTCTGATTGTATCACATAGTGCAAAACCCTCAGAAGACAAAGAACATTTGGATTGCCCCCCCACCCCACCCCACCCGCCTTTTCCACCCGACAGAAACACCCTATCATTTTCTGATTGTTTCCAGAGCCAAAGATAGCAGCAGCCCAGCCACCATAATATACTGGTTGCACTGTAGATTTCTGCAAACCACAGATATATTACATTTGTACATTTTATACATCCAACATTTAGACTGCATATGATCCGAGTTTCTCATTAGAAGAAGGAGGGGATAGTGGATGGTGTGACACCTGGGCGAGACAGCTGCCAAGCAGCAGACCACAGTTCAAGACCAACACGGGTCTTTTTAAGCAAGAGTTTGGGATCTGTCCAGAGTGACAAAAGCAGGTATTTGAACCCAACATTATGTTTTCCTGACCTAAAACCTTGTACCTAACTACACATAAACCACGATGATGCCACAACATAAAACTGAAAATTTAAATGTAAAGAAATGTAAAGTTTAAACATATCTGCTGCATCTGAAACATACAAATGTAAAAAATCAGTGGTTTGCATAAACGCACAGTGCCAACATTTATTCTGCCAACTGGGTTGATAGCAGAGTTTGTAGCCATTTGCTCTGTTAGCTGTCCTGCCTCGAGGTTGTTGCTACATAAACCGTTATTTAGTCATGGGCATCTCACAATAGTTATGTTTTACAGGTCCAGTTTGTAGGGTTTAGGGGCATCTATTGGCAGAAATGGTATATCATATTAATAAGTATGTTTTCATTAGTTTATAATCACCTGACAATAAGAATCACTGTGTTTTTGGTACCTTTGAATGAGCTGTTTATATCTACATACAGAGCGAGTCCTCTCCCAGGGAGTCCGCCTTGTTGTTCTAAAGTAGCCCAGAATGAACAAACCAAACACTGGTTCTCGATTGGGCCATTCATGTTTTTGCATTTTCCTGCCGGCCACCGGAGTTCTCCTACATGCTTGGCACACGGGTGAAGTGTTAGTTCTGTAACATCACCGCTAGATGCCACTAGATCCACACTAGACCTTTAAATGATCTTGAATATAATAGTACAGCAAACACTGCTTAACCATTCAACCTGGCATAATTCTCTCTGGATGCTCTCCTCCCACCTGCCCACTTTTAAAACGCGACTCAGTTTCCCAGTCTTTTACCCCATCCTTCCCCCTCTCCCTCCCCCCTCCCTCCATTTCCAGCAAAGTGAACTTTGGTCTAAGAAAACAGCAGGTTTCAGGAAGTGAGCTAGGTATAGATGGAGTTAACAAGGGCATGTTCACAAATGTGAAGTGTTGCACAACACTGAACAATGCAAAGATATTTTCCTCTCTCTCTTTGTTTTTTTAACAAACTGTCAACACCTCACATTTGATGCATGCTCTACTGGTAATCCTTACCGATAAGCCCCGACCGTGACCCTGAGCCAAACAAATCTCTCTTTTCTCTGCTCCCTCTCCCCTCACTAATGGCCTCCATGCCCCCTTACAGCCTCTCTCCCTCTAATTTCACCATCTTGCTTTAATAGAAAATATACTTTTGGTACTTGATCCATCAAATCATTTTAGACCTGGACAAAAAATATAGAAATTTTTTTGTGAAACACTTAACAAACAACTTCAGTTTTGGATGTGTCACATTTGCATTGTAATGCTAATTCAACTGTTTGAGTTCCTTCCTTTATTCAGCTACTTTTTGCCCAGGTCTGTTGTGTCTTTATTCCTGTTAATCCTTCTATGTTAGGGCTTGCTTCACTTTCAATTCAATCAATTCAGGAGGCTTATTTTCTTCTACATTTAAAAAATGTTTGGCATGTGAAAACAATGATATCAAACCTGTTAGGTAATCATAGTGAACAATTGGTCAACAATTGCAATTTTAGTTGACAAATTTTTTCAGTTGATTGTATTGAAAGGGAACGGACAGCCAGCCCTGTTTTTTTCCTCTTCGCCCTTTCACTACTTCCTGCTTCTCCTTCTCCTTCTCCTCCTCCTCCTCAGCGCATCTTGTGTTCCACGTCAGCGTTGGCCATGTTTGAGCCAGGGCTGGGGTCCTGCTGTCGTCTGGACTGGGGAGAGAGAGGGATGAAAGGATGAAAGAGGGGGGAAAAGAGGAGACATGGGGGAGATAGCAAGAAAGGGATCAAAGAAAGAGACAATAAATTAAGTACAGTTTTCAAGTATGAACTCTTTATAGGTTAAGATACATATTTATATATTGTTGCAACTTTTTTAGTAGTATGACGCATCTACTGTTTATACACCAATTATGAATCCTTTAGTATCAGTAAAAATGGCTAACAAAATGATCACTTGAAAACAACCTAATATCTGCTTTCAACAACTCTATGTTATAGACCAGGGGCAGAGCAAGACTTTGTATACATTCATGGATCAGCCTAAGCCTGAGGGGGTCCGACACTCTGATCCCCCGGGAACTTTTTTCCCCCCATTTAAAGCAGCTGTATCCACTATTTTTTAAGCTATTAGAGACAACAGGATGACTAAAAATATGTCCAATCTGGACATCGTTGGGGAAAACGTGATAGCTGCCAAGGATAAAAATCATCCTGTAAAGCAGGGGTCTTTGGCCTTTTTTAGGCCAAGGACCACCTGGCTGAAAGAGAAACAGACCAGGAACCCCCTACTACATACAGTGGGTACGGAAAGTATTCAGACCCCTTTAAATTTTTCACTCTTTGTTTCATTGCAGCCATTTGCTAAAATCAAAAAAGTTCATTTTATTCCTCATGAATGTACACTCAGCACCCCATCTTGACAGAAAAAAACAGAAATGTAGAAATTTTTGCAAATTTATTAAAAAAGAAAAACTGAAATATCACATGGTCATAAGTATTCAGACCCTTTGCTGTGACACCCATATTTAACTCACATGCTGTCCATTTCTTCTGATCCTCCTTGAGATGGTTCTGCTCCTTCATTGGAGCCCAGCTGTGTTTAATTAAACTGATTGGACTTGATTAGGAAAGGCACACACCTGTCTATATAAGACCTTACAGCTCACAGTGCATGTCAGAGCAAATGAGAATCATGAGGTCGAAGGAACTGCCCAAGGAGCTCAGAGACAGAATTGTGGCAAGGCACAGATCTGGCCAAGGTTACAAAAGAATTTCTGCAGCACTCAAGGTTCCTAAGAGCACAGTGGCCTCCATAATCCTTAAATGGAAGAAGTTTGGGACGACCAGAACTCTTCCTAGACCTGTCCAGCCAAACTGAGCAATCGTGGGAGAAGAGCCTTGGTGAGAGAGGTAAAGAAGAACCCAAAGATCACTGTGGCTGGACTCCAGAGATGCAGTAGGGAGATGGGAGAAAGTTCCACAAAGTCAACTATCACTGTAGCCCGGGGGCTTTATGGCAGAGTGGCCCGACGGAAGCCTCTCCTCAGTGCAAGACATATGAAAGCCTGCATAGAGTTTGCCAAAAAACACATGAAGGACTCCCAGACTATGAGAAATAAGATTCTCTGGTCTGATGAGACCAAGATTGAACTTTTTGGCGTTAATTATAAGCGGTATGTGTGGAGAAAACCAGGCACTGCTCATCACCTGCCCAATACAGTCCCAACAGTGAAACATGGTGGTGGCAGCATCATGCTATGGGGGTGTTTTTCAGCTGCAGGGACAGGACGACTGGTTGCAATTGAAGGAAAGATGAATGCGGCCAAGTACAGAGATATCCTGGAAGAAAACCTCTTCCAGAGTGCTCAGGACCTCAGACTGGGCCGAAGGTTCACCTTCCAACAAGACAATGACCCTAAGCACACAGCTAAAATGACAAAGGAGTGGCTTCGGAACAACTCTGTGACCATTCTTGACTGGCCCAGCCAGAGCCCTGACCTAAACCCAATTGAGCATCTCTGGAGAGACCTGAAAATGGCTGTCCACCAACGTTCACCATCCAACCTGACAGAACTGGAGAGGATCTGCAAGGAAGAATGGCAGAGGATCCCCAAATCCAGGTGTGAAAAACTTGTTGCATCATTCCCAAGAAGACTCATGGCTGTACTAGCTCAAAAGGGTCCTTCTACTCAATACTGAACAAAGGGTCTGAATACTTATGACCATGTGATATTTCAGTTTTTCTTTTATAATAAATTTGCAAAAATTTCTACATTTCTGTTTTTTTCTGTCAAGATGGGGTGCTGAGTGTACATTCATGAGGAATAAAATGAACTTTTTTGATTTTAGCAAATGGCTGCAATGAAACAAAGAGTGAAAAATTTAAAGGGGTCTGAATACTTTCCGTACCCACTGTATATTGCCCAAAACTGAGCTGCACTTGAGAAAACTCTCTGCACTTTCGCTGGGGGTCTTTAACTCTGACAGTATGTCACAGTCTCTTGCTTGGCTAAACGATCTGTACAATATCTGTACACTTGGAATAATAATAAAGCTAGCTGGCCAATATGTTTAAGGAGTGCCCAGCTGTTAGCTAACTGCTTCACCTCGCTATTACGGATAGATTCTGCACAGTGACGTAGCATTAGGTACCTCACATGACTGCACAAGGATTCATGGTTACAGCCTATCAATAATGTTGTGTATTGTAAATTACTATTATTTTAGTGAATAGGCTCATTTATCTTTGTTAATAATATGTTGGATTCATGGTAATGTGTAATTCATGACATGTTTTGTTCTTAAACTGTCTTCATCATTCTGAAATACAACAAATGTTGAGGATGACTAATTTTCACTCCTGCCACCTAAAAAGACAAGAAATTGTCTGATGTTACTAATTTTAAATTAAATAACCAAGGTAGGGTAGGAATTTGGTGTAAATACTATGCTGGAGTGGTGCTGATAAATCAGGAGACTCTGTGCTTTTGAGAAAATATTTGGGGCTGGAGCATCAGAAGCCCCCCACCCTCCTCCATGCTCCGCCCCTGTTATATACCACTTATCTGTTGTTGTTTTTTTAACTTCTTTTGAATGCTATGGGTGAATTAAAATAAAATATTAATTTCAAGGGCACAATGGGTAACCAACAAGACCCCAGATGTGAAAACAAATACTACTAATAATCTACTACTGTAGGCTGATGTGCAGAGGCGGCTGGCCAATAGAGGGCGATAGGGCGCCGCCCCTCCTTGAGCCACAAAAGAAAAGAAAGATGATGATAATAAATGTATGATTATCATCATCATTATTGTCATATATACACACAATATATTAATTATTCTGATCATTTTCACTTGAAACAGCTCGTCCTGCCTCTGAATATCCAATCAGAGGCAGTGTGAAGTCACGTTCCGGCCTTTTGGGGCGATATCAGCCTGGCGGGAAATCACCCCGACTCACTCTCATAGACCTCCATGTAAAATGCTTTTTTTTTCTAAATGCAGGCACTCCAATGCAATCTCTATGGGTTCCAGGAGGGCTTGCCCCAACGTGTTTTCGTCATACGTAAACCACCAAGTATCATTCATGTGCTCCTCAGATGGTCCGATTTGGGAAGTCGTTCTTACTTCATTGTGTGTTCATGAGCATTTAGGTGGTAATGTGGAGACATCATGGACATTACAAAGAAGATGTGTTGTATTTTATCACTCAAAATGTTTAAAAAACACGTCGTCAACCGTTTCTACTGAAATATTGCTTTACGGTCGGAAACTAATTTTTCCGATTATTCCGACATCACATGAGGCAGCGCCACTGCGCAGCGGTCACATCCAAGATCAACATGACTAACGTTTCCAGCTGATCCAAGAGGCTTTTTAACCATATAGGTTATAAAATAACGACGCATAGTGCGTCCAAATTCACACCTGTTCTTCTCTATGGATATTCTCCGCGACCATTAGCGAGAAGCCACGCATATCACGTGAAACAGCGGAACCGGAGCGCAGGACCGGAGCTTTCCAGTGATCACACACATCATTGTGCTGCCATCCCATCACGCTATAAATAGCCTACAGATTAAATGTCTACAAAATAAACACCTGACGAATTTCTTTACAATCCATTATACAGATCTTGTTATCAGTCACTTCATATAGTGAGGAATATCGTATCTTACCATGTCTTAGGCTTGTGTGTGTTTCTCCGTGTCTATCCACATTTGTAGTCTGGCTTTCAAGATGTAAATATCTCCATATTGTCCAGTTGACACTCCATCAAACTTTGTATGACAAGACTAGCACACTTCACCTTTGCGCACCCAGACAACTGCAGCCTAATTATGCACGCTGACAGGGCCATAGTCACCATATACATTGAGGGGGACACGTTCCCCAATGCCCAAAATGCCCCCCAATATATAACTGAAACTGAAAAACAACAACAAAAAACATTCAGGTCAGGTCAAAGAGCAGTGATACAATGTGATGAGCATTGTATTAAGTTGTAGGGTATGCCTGCATTTAATCAGAACACAAAATGAATTTCCACTTAGGTATAATAAAATGTTTTCTGATTAAGACTGACAGTGACTCAGTGAATACCTTACTCAGTTTTATTTGATTAATGGTAAAACAGGTCTCTGTTTACATTCAAAGGTATTTGTGTGGGCAAACTGATGAAAAGTAGTCTGTTGATGACCACAGTGGATTGTTCAGTCATTGTAGAGCCAAATTAATTCAAATTTACCCACTGAACGGGTCACCTCAGCAATCATCACAACAATTGCCCCCCTGAGAAATTTGGCAGGAGTCGCCACTGGTGATGTGAGAGCACCAATGAAGGAAGTTGCAGTTCTACAAAGTGTCACTAGAGGAGGCCAGAGAGCTCTGTCACAGCAGGGCTCAGTGCTGCTGTTTATACACTTTACTGATGTTGATATTTTAGTCAAGGTAGCTGGCAGACAGACAGACAGACAGACAGAGAAACTGGCAGACATGCAGGCTGTCTGACACAGATAACGACACACACAGTCACACCAAGTTGATCATTAGGTCATCATGAGAAGCCATCAGTATGACAAGACTTTTAAATATATTTCATGAGTGGGTGCAGTGTGGTGCGTGTGTGTGTTTATGAGCCTGTGGCATGACCTGCTGCTGCTGTAAAAAAAAAAAGAAATACCTGTGGTTATATGTTTACACTTAAGT